AGACACCTGTCTTTCAAACCAAGACAATGTTAATGTGAGAAGTTATCAGTTTAATGTTTTCTAGAATATGAAGAATAAGGTTTCTTAATGACACTTGAGCATATATTCAGGACTTGTGTTTAAGCAAGGATTCAATCCACCAAAGTCAATGGAGCTCCCTGAAGTAGTCAAGATAAGTATTTAAATCATTTCAGGAACAGCCTGTTGCTTTTAGATTATAATAATCCTATTGATTACATGACTTTGCAGCAAGGTTTGCTTGCTTGTAGTCTTAACTGTCTGCAAATGCTTTGAGGAATGAACTTGTTTCACAAGAGGCCATAAGCAGAACTTGAATGAAAAGGGACAGTCAGATAAAAGGCCTTTTTTGACAGACTGCTCTGAAACTGCATTTACACCGCAGAAAAAGCCTGAACTTCTCAGGCACCTGTCACCTACAGAAGATAATCTAACCATAGCTACTAGCAAGAATATTTATCTTTTAGCTCAAAAAGGCAGGAATTAACTGCTTCCTGAGGTTCACAGATTCAAATAATGCAAACGATCCACGTAAAAGGATCATTTACAGTAACGACTGCAATACAGCATTGTACAAGTTGCCAATGAAGGCAAGAATGCAGGCTGCTGCAATGCTCTTTGTGAAGCAAGAGCTGGAAACGACCAACTGTCAGCTGAGCCTACTGAGCTAGCACAGTATTTCCTCTTTGCCCATTCCACTAGCTACTTACAATGTGTTAGTTTACACTGTCCTTAGCCCACCTAAGAAGTCAGGCTTGAGTCAGGAGGAGCTAAGTGAAGGTTTTAAACCATGTAAGAACAGAAACCTTTAAACTCAGTTAACAGGCAGAAAAAAACCCAACCCAAGACACTCTACACATCCATTTTTGAACCTCATGCAGAAAGTTCTGCATCTTGTTTTCTATCAATTTTGACTTGCTGACATTAGCAAGAGTAACTTATACATTGAGTTTCTAAAGACACATCTCATTCAGGACTTACTGTACGCCGGGTTTTGCAGAGCTGACACTTGTATTCAAAGGTGGAGAACTGGCAATACTTCCCTGTTTCACAGTCTTCATCAATGATGCACTCCTGAAGAAAAGGATAAAAGTGTAATTTGCCATGGCGTGACAGAAATCCATGCCTTGAAATACCAGAAGGTCTTGATTGATCATAGTTCTTACTTTGAGCCAAGAAAAAAAGCTTGCTTTGGTTCTTCATACAACCAGTCCGTAATAGAACAGTGCTATCTCCCTGGCACACCTATATGTTGTAGCCTCAAAGTGTCAGGTGGCTTCATTTTTTGTATAAACATTAAAACCAGCAGCCTCAAAAAGATAAACTATCTTGTTCTGCAGGCTTTTTGGAGTTGTTGGGGTTTTTTGGGTTTTTTTAGAGTACAATTGTGATTCACTACTTGTTGGCTGTTTTTTCAGATGAGGGGCAAGACTGAAAGGAAGAGGCCACACTACAGCAGCTGCAGCAGCCAAGAATATCTTTATGCTCTCTGGGAGACCATTCTGCAACCGCTTTCTTGATCCCAGGCCAGGTAGCTTTATGCTGTCCTCCCTTCTCTTCCCTACCAACATTTGTGCTCACCTCAGAAACTCCACAGCATGGTTAGGCTCCCCAAGCCAGCAAGGAAAGCTCTAAGGGAGAAGGGAAATGTGTTTCCTTTTCCTTTTAACTGCTCCTCTACTCCCCTCTGCAAGGGGAAGACAAATTCTTCTCAAGCAAACATAAGCAACTTCGCAGTGCCTGAGCATTTTTGTTGGCAACAGCTTCTATGCTGAAAACCGCAGTGCTTCTTTCCACAGGACTGGTAACGTTAAACATTCCTGGGATGTTATGGCAGCAGCAGCACTACCTTGAAGCTGGAACTTCTAGGAAGCAGTAGATGTCATACACCATTTGATTTCCTTTTCTTGGATGATGGCATGCCTCTCATGCACCTATCACCATTGCCCATCACCTGCAAGCTCTCAGCTGCAAATGTCTAAACACCCACACATGGAAATTTTAAATCCTTACATTAATTTAATTTGAATATTGAAAAACATGCAGGAGCAGATTCTCAGCTGACACCATTCCTCTGGCACCCCCCTGCTGTCAACGGAGTTAATTTGCATTTAGTAATGTTCTAGCCTGTCAAAGAACATGATTTCCACACTGCATGCTTTTGAAATGCACATAACAAACTCAAGGCTTCCTCCCTCCTTGTTTGCTGCACATGAGCATTCAGCAGACAGGTTTGAACACTCATTTAAGATTGACAAGTACTGAAGAGCCACATACATCAGAGGGAAACAAAAAGCCCCACAGTTCCCTAATGCATCAGCCTTTGCTACCCAGGCTAGAGCAGGCCTCAAGCTAGCAAGGTGCTTGAGCACATTCAGCTTTTCAAACCTGGAATCACTTCATGTCCTTAATAAAAATGTTCATGTGACAGGGATACCTGTGTTCCCACCTCAGTCAGAAACCCAGACTAAAGTTTCTTCACCCAGTGGTCCCACAAGCACTCTGGCAGAGACGGCTCATCTTTCATTCACGCTGCACAGGCTGAACGTACCAACTGGTCAGAAAGTCTTCCCAGAATACAGCTCTGCAGGTATGACAGTGAGGAAGAAACTCTAATACAGAGGGTAAATGTCTACATTTATGTATCCTTGAAGTGTCTGGTTCACAGGACCAAGGTGTTTCCTCTTCCCATCTAATGGTTACCAAAATTGAGTGATTAACCCTGTTCTCTAAAATGTTTTTAATCCAGGCTGGAAACAATCTAGCCAACAGAAAAGTAACTCATAGCACCATTCTGTGTTGCTTGTATGCCATGATTGGTTTGTACCATTGTAATGTTGATGCAATCTTTTTGCTATTGATAAATTTAAAAAAAAAAAAAAAAAAAAAAAAGGAGTTATACAAAAATCCCTGAATTCCTGAATCGTCTGAAGAGAATGCTACTGCTCTTTGGCAGATATTAATCTCACTTGCTGGAGCAGATCAACTGTCATCTGCACAACCTTTATTTAAAGTTTCCATTAAACTTTTAATTTTCTATTTCTACTTTTTTAGAACATTTCTCCCCAAACTGCTGACTACTTCCACCCCATTCCAGATGAG